CTTTTGCCTTTTTTCTCGTCCCAGTTTTTACTTCCAATGGAGCACATTCTTTCACTTTCATAGTTTCTATTGTACCTTTCAGGTCTTATTTAGTTTTCCAGGTCCTCACACTAGCGAGACAATGTGATGTTTGCACATATGTGTCTGATTTATTTCATTTACAATATAGCCTCTAGTTGCATCCACTTATCTACAAAGGCCTCAAATTTATCTTTTTATTGCTGTGTAATACTCTGCTGTATAAAAATACCACAGTTTTAAATGCATACCTCAGTTGACGAGGGCTTGGGTTGTAGGAGGATTCCTCTTGAAGCAAATAACTTCATTTTTAGAAAACGACTTTGAGCTTACGTGTAAGCTTTGGTTGGCTCCATGAAAAATGACTAATGTCCAAATAAATCTTTGTGGTACAGCCACACAGGAAAGAGAAGACCTAGTTCTGGGGAACAACAAATGCCACAAAGTTAAAAAAAGAAGCTGTGCAAAAGAAAGCTACCAAAAGGCATTTCACATGTCAGGAACGGCTGAGCTGTCTACTTATTTTTTTTATTCCCCAGTGTTTTCTCATTCGGAAAAGTACTGAAAAATAAGTTAGATAAAGATGATGATGATAATGATGATGATGATAAGACAGATATAAAGATACATTATAGATATGTAGATAGATAGATAGATAGATAGATAGATAGATGACAGAAAGGCAGATAGACAGAGGGATTTCTCTAGTCCTCTGACTGGTGGCTTAATATGCATGCATTGGGCAGGTTGTGCATAATCCATGAATTTAATCCTCAAGTAACTGCACTGGGGTTTCAGAATATACAGTTTGAGTTGAGCCAAAATAACTATCTGCTCAAAGAGAATATTCTGTATTCTTTTTTATTCTTGTTATGGAAATGGAAGAAAAGTGGACTCCAGATTTTGCAGGATACACTCCAAAATTGCTAAACTTATACTCACACAGGCAAATATAACCCTGTTTCAGTAAAAAGCAATCAAGAAAAACTAAACCCATGATAGCTGATAGCCTGCACATTTCGGAATTAGAAGTAAATTTTGAATTTAAGACAAGCATTATAGCAATCAAAGGAAAAAATAAATAAGTTGAAATACTGACTAGAAGGAAGCAAGTGAAAATCTAGGAACTGAATAACACAATATTCAAGACAAAAATTAACTACTGAATAGGTTTATAAGTGCAGCCATATCCCTGAAAGGGAATTATAATTGAAAGAAATGATGTTTCATTTTTAAAAGTGACTTTGAGTTTTCAAAGGAATATTAATTAGCAATATTAGGAATATTAATTAGATTTTCAAAGGGAATATTAATTAGACTTTGAAAGGAATCAATAGAAATGAACAATCTGAATGAAAAAAGACTGAGAGATAAACAGAGTTAATAGAACATGTGAGATAATATGAGGAAGTCTAAAATATGAATAGTAGATTCTTCTACAGATAAAAAGTCATATAAATAGGACAAATATTTTTATACCACTTAAAGAAGATAGAAAACATCTAGAAATAAATTTGAGCATGAGGTGTGTTTCCACTTGATGCACTGCACCCGCTGGGATTTACGGTCAGCAGATTTGGTGAAAGAATCTATGATGATGGCTGGGGGATCCACAGGCCTCACCAATCCAAGAGGAGAGAACAGGAGAAATCACAACCCAGGTTTGATTGCAGACCTTCTCCAAAAGTCTGATTCAAACCAGATCAATGCGAGGGGCAGGAGAGATTCCTACAAAGTCTGAGGGGAAAATGTGGATAAGAGAGAGGAACATATTCTTGAGAAATAGGCATTCCTGACTTAAAATGTGTGAAATCACTACTGGTATCTTTATTGCATTTGGCTCCAGAGGCAGGAAACCAAAGGCTTCTAGGTTTGAAGGTCTAGGGACCAGCTTGGTGCCAGAAACCAGAAGGGAATTCTGGGAAGAGGAAAACCACATAAAGGACAAATCTCCAGTCTGAGTATGATCCTATATAAGTTCATGGATAACCACTAAATCTTATGCAAACAAGGGATGTGCTAGGAGCTGGCTAAAGATAGGCTATCAGAAGATACATAGAGGTCTGATATTTGGGCCAGAGATATAGCATAGGGGCAT